GAATGATAAAACTGGAGCCTCGAAACCTTTGTCATCGAGAATATAGTGACTTGTCTTTTGCAATCAGTATACAGCCAAAAGTTGCTGATAAATCAATGAAGCCAGTCAGACGAGATTCTACAATCGCAACTTTTCGGCCATTTCCGTAAGTATTCGGATAAACATAAGGATATTATGAATCTATTATTCATAATATCCGATTTAGGACGTTTTGATTGGTGATTCTATACTTATACATGCGTTACTTAAGTAGTTGAATCTCGATTAATTTCAATATGATAATCAATAGTTAAGGACAATCTAAAAACTTATGTATAAAATGCTTTATTTAAAATCAAACTAAAAAGAATGGAGAATCGCTTGAGTATTAAGGGTCATTTTTTCCTCCGAATAACCTTCAATTTCACTCATTTACTAGTCTACATATGATTCACACTTATTATACCAAGTCAAGTCAGGACAAATATTTTCCTTGCAAAACCATACACATGTTCAATAACCAACAAACAGAAATGTCTCATTTACACTTGCGACGATTTTCCTACTTTTAATTTTCAAGCTGGTTTCGGGAATGGTTCTAATTGGATGAATTTTGCAGTGAAATAAAAAATAACATTCAAAATGTAACATATCTTTATTAAAATAGTAAAATGTATTCGTTATAACATGTCCGGAAGCTAACAAGCATTCAAATTGGTATAAATGTGTTGTTATTGCGGCTTTGCTGTCAACAATAATTTTGTTTTATCAAAAAATCACTGACATATTAAGAATAAATAGATACAATTAAATGATTAACTTAATCAATGTTGTCACAATCTGACATTTTACATTAATGTCCCTCACGAAATATTTATATCTATTATTCAAAATGTGATGTTAACCAGTAAATAATACTTAATGTAATTGTTTGTTTTTCTTGTTTTATTTGGGTAACTCTTAACCTTTTTGACCTTGGGAAACGAGAAACAAAAAAGCAAAAAGTGCGTGATGGCAATAAAAAAATAACCGTTCATCCGAACAAAACATGACTAAAAGTGAATATTAAGACATTTAGTGTGAAGTAAAACACGCATTTCTTTTTTTACCGAGAAACGTGAAAAAAATGTCTTTATTAAAAGGTCAGCGACACACATAAAAAAAGAAAATGACGACTGGATAAAAAATGTTGAGATTTATTTATTACATCGAGAAAAAAAACGGACGGGGTACTTTCTCCTATTTTCTAAAATTTACTCAACAAAATCATCAAAACATGAATCAAAAAAGTCAATCAATACGAGTACTAGATATGATTAAGTCTTCAAATGATACATGAATTTGACAATGGTTAAGTGAATATTATATGTAACCTTTTGAAAAATATCGAAAAATATTGAAAAATATCCTAAGATTATATTTCGTCCTTTTATTTGCTAAGGCATTCATTCGATTTACGCTCCTCTGGGTAGATTAAACATTTAGTTTCCAAATAAAATATCTTGTGGAACTATGTACTACAATGCCTATAATGACAAAATTGAAAATGTTGAAAGCACGGTTTGACTTAAACAGATATAACTTTAAAAATATTAACAGAAAATAGAGAAGTTCGAGAAAAACAACAACAAAAAGCAAACCCATCAACCCCAATCAACCCCATGCGCTGACATGTTATAAAACGTTTCACATCCTGCAGTACAGGAAACGGGAATAGGACATTTTAGCAGTGTAAATAAAAAAAGCAGTACATTTTTGTAAAGTAAGAGTATGACTTGCTTTAATTAGGAATGTATTCTTCTCATTAATATTGCACCTATTTTGTGACAACCATCTTTGCAAATCCAAATCCACTCTATTAAATCAATGCCTTAATTGTGCACGCTTAATCATGTTAAATCATAGTAAAATGCACATTATCTCTATTCAAGTGTCAATTTCAAATACATTTAATATAGATTATCAGAAAATAACAGTTACCGATTGCTTTGTAGTTATACAACAAGTCTGCACAAATATTCTATTATTCTGCCAAGTCATCCACTAATGCTGCATATATCATAACATGTTCCCGTTGGCCTTGTCCCTTCTTAATTAAAAACACAACAAACAATAGCAAGGATCTTAAAATAATCATTTTCAAAATTAAATTTGAATACATATGTATATTGTTATGGCGATCATTTGTTTGTGTCCCGGAAGGTCGCTATTTTATGGTCATGCCAAACAGCAGTATCAGTACAAAAAATGTACATGTAGTACAGAGATTATTCTTATACAAAAGTTTACGGCCAATTTGGACACCTTTTGCTAAAATGAGAGATTGCTAATTATGTATTGTAACCACTTAATATTTCTACACGCTTTTGTGTTGCGTAGTTTGCTGTCGTCACATGACAGGTTCACGTGACATTTGATTGACAGTTTTATGAAAGAGTTGTTTATCAAATAATGATGATACAGACGTTGCTTCAGCGAAAAGTTTGAAAAGGTTAATCATAGACACCTTCTCAGATTCATTATAACTGTCAATCTAGCCAATTTATTTTATGTATATTTATGAAAGCTCGATGGTGAAACAAGTATATTATTCTATGTTAATCACTTTGGATGAGTCTGCTGGCTTAAACTATAACAAGTACTTACGGTATGTAAGGATAGAAAAGGGCTAGAACACACGATGATGATGAGGAACGGAGGAAACCTTCTCCCCTTCACTATAGTCTATTATTTTATTTTCATTCATGACATACTAATTCATTTCATTTTATAAGTTATCGAATTTCACTATACTTGGTTTATTATATTGTACAGATTTTGGAAGATTTATTTTCTAGCTTTATATTTTTACTTAGATATGCATTCGTCAATCTTAACAACAGCAGAAGAAATACATTCCCCAATCATTTATAAATATATTTAGATATGTATTCGCCAATCTTAGCAACTGAAAAGTACATTCCTCTATCATTTATAAATATATTTAGATAGCTTTCGCCTTAATTAATACAGCTTTAGAATTCATCGATTTATATTTAAGGATGATTGAGGATATTTAAGGTTGGAAATGTGCTTGTATGTAGCCTTTATAAATCTATGATATATAGTTTTATATTGTTCTAATGTAATTTGTTGTAAAGCACAGTTGAACATTTTTTTAAAAAATGATAAATATATTCTTTAAAAATAATATACATGTAGCTATACACTTTTCAACCGTCATTCTATATTGACAATGAACGTTTGTGTCACTATTGACAGCGCTTGGTCAAACTTTTCCGAAGTTCTTTAGTTTTGTACTTCTCTTTACAGAGCGATGCAGGGTGCATGTTTCATGTCGAAGTTTCTCTGGAGTTGATTTATCTGAAATGTGGAGATACTGACAATTCTTGATAAGAACATAACACATTAAACACAAAAGCACGCGAAACATTATTTACTTAAGGCCATGGTAGCATACATAATGATATATAAATGTTGTTAATTCATTTATTTATATCAATTTAGATAAAAATGTCACATTTGCTTATTTAATTGCGAGAGTAATATATTGTATATAAGTGAAACTTAACTATATTAGAAGTTGAGCGTAATAAAAAACACATTAATTACATGCTGGTACCTATCTGTTAAGAAATATTTAACATTTTATAATAAATGCACAACGTTAATAACGCTGCCTCTGTCGTGTACTTTCCAAATATATCCTCCATGACAACTATATGCAGCAATGTTAATAAAGATATGCAGGTGTTTGTGTGAAGACAATGCAAACAAGAATGCAGCATGTACAACAAACGTGTTAAATGACAGTAAATCATCTGAGGGCAATAAACTGGACATGTTTACTACAAGTCCTTATGACACCTACGTAAACTGACCACTCTGCATTTTTGTTGAGCCAATAATAATATGCTTTATTCGAATACTTGTAAAATCTTACATTCATAGGAATGACACCAATTTACTTTATATATAGGAAATAATCACAAAATACATAACAATCGGACAATGAAGAATTGAATCATAATAATGTTAGTTGACAGATAATTTGCAGAAAAATGTGTCGACAAATTTCCGTAGCTATTAAATACAGATTTTGATTTTAATAAATGGTAAAGCTATAAAATGCAATGTTACGTGGCTAAAATATACTTAGACAACTCTAACATTGCATTACAAGGATGTACTGATTCTAACAAGATGACCATAAGTACTTTTGTGTTTCGTAATGATGATAATTATGATAACAAAAACTAAACCAATGACATCAACAACAATATCAGTAATAATTAAAACATGTAATATTAATGATATTGACTAAATATTACTAAAACTAAATAAGCTAGATAAACTAACGATGATTATGAGGATAGAGATGATAATAGATGATGATAATGATGATGATAATAGTGATGATATATGATGATGATGATGATGATGATGAGTTCACTCTTTTCCAATCTATGTTTTTTACACGAACATTTGATTTTGATTTTGAAATTTCATTATAAGATATAAATTTCGTATGTCTAGAAAATTGCACCCACTGCATTAGCATCTACACCAGTATAAAATGAATAATAATGAAATCAACGCCCCTCTAATCTCTGTTCAGTAAACTGAATTATTGTACATTTATGGGAAATTATTATTGGTACATAATTACAATTTTATGCCAATAGCATACCTTTTAATGTCTGTGAATTCATATAAATTACACCTGAGGTGCTTGTTGTCGTTTATAAGTCAAGATTATCTATTTGTATAAACAATGTACAATAATAAAAAAACATATATTTACCATGTTTGATCGATTATTGATTACAGAATAAAACAGTAGGCTGATTTATAATATATACATATTCATCACATGCTAGACAAGATGCTTATTATGCAAATGTTTCAGCTGTAGCTACACAGATATCTATCTATTCATAGTAATTAAGACTGTTCATTAATTAATATACAATATGAGACCGAAAATTGCATCAGTCGCGACGAGAAGTGTGATATACCTGACAGGTGTGTTCATGACAAAATGACGTCTTGAGGCGTAAGCCAGGGCGCTGTTTATAAACCAAGCTTCTTTACATGAAAAAGGCCAGTTACATGTACGTACTCATACAGGCATGGAGTCTTTAAAGGTTTTTCTTCTCCTAGGCTTGTTTGCACATCAAGGTATGGATTTCTTCATCAAAAAATTATATAGAATATACTTAAAATATGTTTGTTTTTTCCTTTTAAAACGGATTTTTATTTATTTGTTGTTATAAACTTATGCACTTGAAGATTGGGATTAATGATTGTTCCTTATAAATTTTTATTATTATTTTGCTTTTAAAATGGATTTTTTTTATTATCTTATTTTTTTCTATTAGATATATACATGGAGATTAGGTTTCATTATTGTTTTTTCCTAACAAAATTGTACGATTTTTCTATTTTTTTATATATATTAAAAGTCCGTATTGCAAGTTGTTTCCTTAAGATGACTACCGGTATGTGTGCTATTACTTTAATAAACAATACATATTAAAAAGCTTTAGTTTACATTCTTAAATACTAATGATAGGTACAAAAAAAGAATGTCGCTAGAAATCGATTTATCTAAGGACATGATTTTATCATTATTCAGATGCATTGACTGTTGTTTTTTTGTTGGAAAAATGAAAAAAATAACCGTAATAATTTGATGTCTGATAAAAAGAAAATTCGATTGCATTGTGGATATTAATTGAGAAAATTGTGTGAGTTGAGTAAAAGGATGTTTTATATTTCTTTCTCGAGTCTCTTTTCTATTTCATAGTTTTAATAATGTTTGTTAAATATACGTTAAGAAAATTTTCTTTTTTTTCTCCATTTTTTCATAATTTTTATTTTCTTTCAACATTCAGCAAAAACGCATGCAATTGACGAGTACTGGTATTTTTGTATGAACGAAAATTAGCTCGCATATTGTTATTTCTTGTTTAAATTTTTGTCTTACATGATATATTTTCTGCTTATTTTTTGATATGCACAAAACATCTAATATGAGATTATTTAATTTTCAAACTGTTGAAAATAGATACAAGTTAATAACTGTAATTCATATGTATTTTGATGTTCTTATCATAAACTAAAGTACTGAATAAATGTATGCTGGTTTTTTTGAAGTATGGAAATTATTGCAGAAATTTTCATTCAGTTGTGTGAAGTCAATACTTGTTACTATTGTTCGCGCGATTCGCGACCTCTTTCATTTCCAATTTTATAACCTTATAGTAGTATTTTCAGATATGCATGATTACGCAAACTTAAACCTAAAGTTTTCAAATGCCATAAATTTTTATCGGACAATCTTTTGGTCACATACATATTTATTTTGATAAGCTAATTAAATCAAAGACAAAGTCGACTAAAAACACCTATTGGGTTTAAGATCTTCAAATAATATTTAAAATGGCAGCGACAGACCGTCATGACATGAATTACCCTTTTCTCTTTCCATTCTTCTCAATATAATCGAAACCCGTCCAGGTACGGTAAAACTAGTAAAAAACTCATCCAGGCATGGTAAAATTAGACGAAAACCCGTGTAGGCATAGTGAAACTTGACGAAAACCCGTAAAGGCATAATGAAACTATATGAAACCCGTCCAGGAATAGTTAAACTAGACGAAAAAAACTCCGGCATGGTAAAACTAAACGAAATCCGTTCAGGCAAGTTAAACTAGACAAAAACCTGTCCAGGCATAGGAAAAACTAGACGAAATCCGCCCAGGCAAGTTGAAACTAGACTAAACTGGACGGTAAAACTGGTGGATTTTCGCCTGTTCGAAGTTATATTCGGCGGAGATTCAAGTCGTAAACTTGTAATAATCATTATAGATATTTATTATGTTATCAAATTTGCCTGGAAAGCCCATCAAGAAATGACATTTTTTATTTCATTTCTTATAATCTACGCCAAATTGATTATTTTTTTATTTCATTTCTAATAATGCTATTTTTTCTGCGCCTGTCAAAAATAAAGAATGAAGAATAATATATTATTATCTTATATAATTCATGCCTATTAAGCTAATATGAACAATTTAATTGAACTTTATTTGAGTTAATTATTTGAATTACTTTTTAAATCAAGTATTATAAATGAATGCAAGTATTATAAATGAATGAAAATGATGCACTTTGTCAACTCTTGAAGCTAAATGATTATCTTGAAATACATGTATACATTTCAAAAGTAAACAACAGACTGTACTTTACAATCCTTGCACGTTAAATTTTGTAATTACAATTTTGAAAGTAATTTCATTAAACCACACAATAATTTATTGACGAATAACATGGATATATGTAACTATGTGAATATTTTGACTTTTCTGGACTAAAAATAATTTAACGGCATGATAAGGATTGCTAAATTTACGTTTCGCCATAATTTAGTTACATTAAAAACACATAACTTAATAATTAATTAACACATCTAGAAAACTACATAACGCATGACTAATTTTGACAGTATACACAATGCACTATTTTTTCCTGCGGAGTAATTTATGTTTTGAAAGTCGGGCTTTTAGACTGCTCAGCAAAAAAGAGAATACATTTTATATGAACAAAAGCATTCATTGTTTCAATGATGTGTCATGTAGAGTTATTATTTAACATATGTCATATTTCTGTCTCCTCACCTTCGTCAATTTGACAACTTGTCAAGTCTTCTCTTTACCGCGCGGAGTGATACGTTTTTTTTGTCACGTGGAGTAGCGTTAACAGCGGTAATCACGTCGTGCTAAAAATAGAACATTTAAGAACAAGCAATTTATTATATTATTCACGTAAAAGCATCAAATTTAACACATAATGCATATGTATTTTTTTCCCCTTTTGTTTATTAGGTCTTTACCATGGTAAACATAATATAAGCAAAATGCTAATTAGATGAAATAAATTAAAATGTACATGTATATATGCTACTGACAATTTACTTAGAAAAAAAAGGACAAGAATAAAGATCAACAAGGTAAAGGCAACGTTCACACAGTGCACTTCGGCATTCATTTTTGGTTATTGTCTGGCTATGTAATAAATTTGAAAAGGGGTTTATGCTATTTAACATAAGTATGCCTTTTGAATACTCTTCATATCATTTCTTTATTACATTAGTATCCGATTTCTATTTATAGAACATGAAGTTATATATAATATCATATACATGTATATTCATTATAGAATCACATCAAAGACAGTAACATATCATACAGATTTCATACAGTGTACTACTTTGTATCAAAGCAGAGGATATTTCATTAATAAAAGAGAAATTAAATTATTTAGGGGGGCCCGTACTATTAGTGCATGAAAGGGCGGATGAAGCATAGGATAAACACAAAATCGAATTATTATGCTATTGCACATACAAAATGAACTTTTGTAGCAAATGTTTCATGAGCATTTTCTTTTAATTGTTTATATAGGTTTATAAGATAGGTTGATTAAATCGAAATTTCTAGAATTCCATGTATTTATATAAAAACATATAGTAAATTAATGTTTATATCTTATATGTAAGTATAAGAAGTACTGTAACTATTATTTATAATAACGCAATTCTGTGATTATATTAATCCATGAATTTGAAATAATCGTCTGCTGTTAAGTTATCAGTTAATTCTTTCTTAAAATAATATACATGTATAGTTAATTTGCGCGCATAGAAAAAGGGAATGCAATCTAAAGGACATTGCTCTTACATCTTTTTTTTTAAGTCGCCAACTTGATTTGCTGATTTTATTTCAACTGTAAAGGATAACGTGTAAAAAGCGCTGCCTCTAATAGATAGATCCCTAAGGCCAAGTGCGGAAGCACTTCTGAAAAGATCTACAGAGCATTGCTTAGTTATGTATTCTAATTTTAAAGTGGAACTTTCAGACCCGGGTACATCGGCAACTTGCACCGCTTAGATCGACCGAATGTATCGCTTTAAAGTCTTTATTAAAAGAACAACTTTTGACAACATCTAGAACATACGATTAAAATAAAACAACAAGCATTATCAAAACGTTTTAACGATGGTTTCTTTCATTTTTATTTCAGCGATATGTCAGATGAATCCGGCGTTATTGGCAATGATGGGCGGCGGTGGCGGAGGACGGGGAATAAACCCCATGGCTCTCGGTATGGCCGGTGGTGAAATGGGCGGTGGCATGCAAGAGATGATGATGATGCAGGCGCTCGCCGGAGCAGGAGGTGCAGGAGGGTCTGGTGGAAGTGGTGGGATAGATCCTATGACAATGATGATGCTAGGAGGTGCTGGAGGTGCAGCGCCATCTAGCGACATGATGCAACAGATGATGATGATGAACTTGTTGAGAGGCAACAATGGGGGAGGTAACCAAGGAGGAGGTCAAGGACAGAATCAAGGCGGCGGAGGCATGGCAAGCAATATAGCAAACCTCCTGGCTGGTCCAGGTGGAAGCAACTCTGGTAGGTTGCAAACAAGAAGTGGTAGGTTTTGAAAATATATTAACACTTTCTGTTCCAAATGCGTATATAAAAGTCTCAAGGAAAAATGATGCTGTAAGTAAGGTAAACCTACCGGTGCTTATGTAAAAAAATTGTTTGCATCTATCACGTCATATTTGCTAACGTCATTTGCCTTACATTTGCTAACGTTATTCGCCTTGCATTTGCTCACGTCATTTGTCTTGCATATACTTACATCAGTAACCTTACATTTGTTTACGTCATACGCCTTACACCAGTTTTCATAATTACCGTTTTCCTCTTTTAAAAGCATAATATATGGTTTCATTCTTTTTCTTGTTGATGTAACATGTACTGGATTCACTTGGAGCAAAACACCGCTTTTCATCGAACGAATTAAGTGTTCCATTTCATCTTCTTTAGACAACCTCTAAGATCCCGTCACAGAAGCTGCTTATGTTGAATCTATTATGATTTTAAAGACTAAAATAATACTATTTTTGCCTAAGATTTATGACGTACGTAAATGACGTCATTTTCAAAATACTACTTAATACTGTATAGATTCTTTCAAGCGTAAAAAATAATATTCATAAATTTTCAAAACTATCTTTATAATGATTACTGTTGAGTACAATGTTTATTCGCCCAATTCATACCGACAAGCTTTCTGCATGTTATCTCAAGTAAGTAAGCAATCTTCAATGCAAGTAACATTCATCGGAAACAAATGTGGTTTTTTCTGGCCTTAGGTACAACTTAAATTTGAAATAAAATATTCTTCTGCATGTTGCAGATATCACCCCCGGCCAACATAATGCTCTCTGGGGCGCAGTTCAAATGAGTGGAAACGCTCAAAGAGTCATGGACGCCATTTCACAACCAACAGACAGAATAGCCCTTGAACGAGATGGACTCGTAAGTTTGATTTTCTTCTTCTTTTTTCTCTTGTTTATTCTTTTAAGAATTTAAAACATATTCAGTAGACAATAAAGATCCGCCAGAAACACTTGCGCAGTAATTCAACCTAGATGCAGACTTTAATATTTTTTCTCTGTTTTATTGAAGTACAAAATGTGATTTTCTACACTATTTATTAAAAGTGACATATTGTCTTAACACATGTCTCTCAGGATTGGGAACCCGAGAACTGAAAAAACACCCGAGGGCGGGTATTGTAAAATTTATTGCCCGGGTGATATTCAATTCCAGGATGATAGATCGAAATAACACTATGTGACGTCATATTAGACCATAGAGTAAACCGTTTACGTGAGGTATAATAAATAACTTTACAGACCATCAACAAAACTCCCTTTTATAGATACGCAAGAAAAAATCGTTTTTTTACTTTAGTTGCATAAAATGGGCATTTATGCATAGACATAATACATGCCTTTACATTTTGATATGACTTTCAAATTGTTTATTTTCTTCAGAAAAATATTATTGTTTTTATAATTTCAGCCCGGTTTGAACCCCATGATGACCATGTCTATGTGTCCGAGACCAACACAATGTACTTTTACTTTCTGCGAAAATGCTGAAATTCCATTTACCGGCGATACTTTCTACGTGTGCAGAGGTTGTCCTAGATGCCCGATGGATCCCGCACAACGCAACATGATGAATATGATGAGCTCAATGGGAGGAGGGTAAGTAACTCTTATCGTCGGTGAATTGTACAGAGTTATCTTTCTTAAGATAATGCTTGGTGAAGCGTAATGAATAACGGTAACTCTGTTGAGTCAAGTCTTACATTGTTATTTTTCTTGAGCTAAAAATAGTATCTGGAAATAATTGATAACTTCAGTTAGTTAGTTTATTGAATATAAATTAATTTATTGTACATAGATTAAGCATGATTCTAAATCTTAAAATAGAAATGCATGCAAACATTGTTAGCAACGCAGAAGCTCGATTGCTTAAACTGAAGGGATGGGAGTTTAACTTGACCAATTAACACCGTTAATCGTCTCTTCTTTAATTCCAATTTTGCTTTTTGAATTGACATTTTTACTAATCTTATTCAACAAGATTTTCTCTTGTTTTTTTTCTTTAATAACATTTCCTTTTATACTGAAAAGCATGTATGTTGTTCATTTTTTATAACAATATAAATGAAAATAGTTCGACCTGAAATGGTCAGCTGTGGTACATGGAAGTAATAACTGGAATTGGGATCTCTGTAACCCAACGCAAGACGTTTTTTGGCACGTTTAACCGTCACAACTATGTAAATGTGAATACGCGACAAAATAAATCTGCATCTTAGAAAATGTAATAACAATAAAAATCCATCAAGATAAATATCCGTATTTTTCTCTTTGTTATTTGCATGCCGGAAATAGAAATATTGTAAAAATAATATGTCATATTTACAATGTAGTGTTTTAATATGTAGAAAATTGAATATTTGAGCATAGAAATTCTGACTATATAGCACCGTGATAATAAATGTAGCTAAACCAGCATGCTCCTATTTTCTAATATTCTCTTTAAAGTCTTGCAATGATACACTAAGTATTAGTATCCCCACATAATCTTGCGTTGGGTTTGCTTTGAATCATTGAGCATGCTATTTCTCTTCTACAGAGCTGGCGGTGGTCAGAACATGGCTCAAACCATGATGATGATGAGAGCTATGGGTCAAGGTGGTGGTGCAGGCGGTGGCGGCGGCGCTGCCGGGCCAATGAACCCTGCAATGATGATGGCTTTAATGAACATGCAACAGCAACAGCAGCAACAACAACAACAACAACAGCCAACACCAACTGTAACATCGTTAACAATACCAGGATCACCAGTAGCTACTCCTGCAGCGCCACCATCTAGACCCCAACAGCCCAAAAGGACACCAGCTCCAACTAAATCAAAACCAATTCCGGGTCCCCGTCCACCAAGGGAATTCATTGAAGCCATGAAGGCAATGAGCGCTCAGATGCGATCACAAAAAACAACACCAGCAGCGTAGTGATATATTACATAAATAATCCAAAAACTATTTTAGAAAATGAACTTATTTTTTCATTGCTTTTCTGACTGATATATAGATGTATTCACGTACGCGTGAACTACTTTATAGTATTGTAGAGAAGATTGATGTAAAAAGTTCATTCGCACTGCTATCTGGAATAACGCGGAGTAATTTCGCCATATATTTTTGCATGTCTTATCATTGCTATGGATACAGTGTAGCCATGAAGCATAATCATGCTCTCATTAGTTTATTAATTTCTTGGAAGTTTTGCATGTTTTAATGCGGGTAATGGTTTCATGAATAAACAAAGGCAAATAAGAAATATTCTTAACATTCATAATAATATAAAATTTGATTTGTGTGTCATTCTTACAGCGCAAGAATGGGTGGACTTCCGGCCTAGATGAGAATCACGTGACTTCCGGTTGTGCGTAATAGACATATGTAGCTAAATTTGATATTACCTTGACACACGCTGACGTCTGTTGTGACACAAAAAACGACGAGTTGTCATTAAAATGTCAAGATTATGTGTTTGTTTACAATGCGCAGACGACTTCATAAAATTTCCATACCAAACAAAAAAAACCGCCTGTCATATTATCATTTTATAGCAGTTGAAATATGAGTGTCAGATATTTATTTTCTTACATGTTTTATTTGCCTTAGCAATTTCCGTTGACATTAAAAAAAACAGAAGATACTGCTTGAAATTTTATTGAAATAAGCTTAAGTGACATGAATTGTTTTATATTATATGTTTATTTCATACGTTGTTGAGAGTAAAATGTCAAATAAACAAACATCTTCTTTTTTATATGTTAACAAAATCCAGCTGAAGGTATATATAGAAACATGGCCTTGACCACGCCCGCAAAATTGTTGTAAGATTTTTCTTCCGGTCAGATAGGCAAACTTTATAATATCCATAGTTATCATTTTCATATCCCTCCCCGTGTTCGATTCACTAACTATATCGTAAGGAATCGGTACCAGCGGGATACCTGCACTATTACGCCGGGAATTTTTTTTCTGGTTTCCGAAATGACTATATTTTCAAACAAAAAATAGTGTGTTTAAGTGTTGAGTGAATTATTCGGCCGAAAATGTGCAGTTGTAAAAAATGTGCAGCCGATTTGTTTAATAAATACATTAAAGTGTTATGTATAATAATTTCTGCCAAGGAGCTGGCTTTGAGGCTTTGCCTTATTAGTATTAAAATGGGTTGTACGATCACGTGGCATTTGTTTACGGGAGTAGTTAGTCATCGCACACATGAATTAAAAGTTATTTTTGCTATTATTCGTTATATCTTTCGATTTTTGAATAATAAACATATACCAGGAACATATATGTCGATTCAAATGCTACAGATTTTAACAGTATAGCTTTTTTACTGCTCTTCATATGCTTGAAGAAATTGTGACACAATAATACTGCATATTTTCATCAAAATATTGCCGCATAAAAACATTTATGCAAGTATAACAAACAAAAAAAATCTAAAATTTTCACTCTTGACATCAACCACAATTTCAGAAGCAAGGTTAATACATTTTTTATGTAAAATATCACATTCAACTTCAGGCTTATTCGGTTAAAAAAACTCCACTCAAGACAATATATGATATATCGATAAACATGTTATTATTCAAATATATCTTAACTGAAACCCATACAATAAAGAATTTTTTTGGATTGGTCTACCATGGGCACATTTTCGATTAGAATTTCAAATATTGATAATAACTATAGAAATATATCATTCGGATATTCTTATAAAATATTGCTTTAAAAAAAATTTATGACAAAGTAAAGTAAAGTAATTTAGAAGTATATGCAAATTTATATGGTGAAAAATAATATTTTGTTCTAAAACTTTTTTTATGTGCTATATAAATATAATATTATCGGACTTGCCAACAACATCCATCATGTATAATTCTTTCGTGGTTGCTGTTATGCCTGATACGGCCCGGCTAGCCAAAGTTCTAGCCGTGTGTGAGTCACGTACGGCTAGCCAGGCGAAAATTGTATTGTCTAGTCATAAGGCTCTTTTCAAAATTATATTCGTATTTTTTTGTAAAAATGGCGGAACATCTTTATTAAAGTAAATATACGAGGACATATGCGGGTTCATCGTTAAACTCCTCGTTTAAAGACGCAAAATAACATATGCATTTGCGATTTTCAAATAATTTTGAAAAGTGTCGTACGGCTAGACAATACAGCGTGCCCGTGACTCACGTACGGCTAGAAATTTTGGCTAGTCGTACTGGCCCGTGCGGCTAGCCACTTCCGTACCACATACACTTGGGGTTATGTGCGTGGCTCCCCTTCTTGATCCGCACTTGTATACACCATGCCTATTTTTATCGTGCAAACCGTACGTCAAAATATTTTTGCATATTATTACGTGGTCACATGTCTTGAACATAAAACTTGTTTTCCGCTATTTTAACCACGTTTAAAAAAGTCCCTAAAATATCATAATTTCATAGGAAATTGAAGCGTTGGTAAAAAATTGACTTTTTTAAAACGTTATGAAATTCTATTCAAACTTGTTCATGTGTTAGACACTTAACCGTCTCATACTAATATAAGCACAAATTTAAAACTTATTCTTGTAATAAACAATACTTTTAGTTTTTAATATTCATTGGCGGGGAAGGGCGGGGTCCATACTCCAAGTGTCTGTGTTCCGTACTAAATACTATCAATACACTTTTATCGTATTTAATACCTTCCATTATAGACCAATTCACTTTGATCAAAATACGTGTTACGTTATTAAAATGTTTGAATTGTTTTACAAGTTAGGACAGTACAAAATGACTGAAGAGTCGTTGTTTTTTCTTTTAATTTTTTCTGTTCATTAAAACTGCATGCCTCCAGATGAGTCAAAATGTTTCAATAAAATCAAACTTGAAAAATATGTACTACGATTTTGGGAAAAGTAAAATGATTCAAGATTCAAGTAATATTTTACATGTTATGTGCGGTTAATGACTGATTTTTAAATAGTTACAACTATATTTCTACTGCGTTACTAACGCAATAAGGGCAATTTATGCATATTTTGACAACATTTCGGTAATTTATTTGGGTTATAAGTGCCATTGATAATATGCAAATTACTCCATTTTGGTTATTTCACAATATTATAAATTCAAAAACATTTTCAAAATTTTCATCAAAATCAGCGTGAATCTGGAGGCGTGCTGATTTAATAGCATGAAAATATAATTGTACATGTATCATAGTTTGGGGACGTTTCTGTAAAAAAGGGTCAGACTTAAATCGTATACATATATATGCACTGTGCGTAAACTGGAGTGCAGGTTTTAGTAACCTGCACTCCAGGGCATACCCATTGATAGGCTTATGTTCTCCGGAGTTTAGTTATTGTGGCGACAAAAACATGGATAGTGATAGAAATATTATATTCAGGTGTTCGTTCATTGAATACTTTTTCTAGAAATATTTTTACAACAGGGAATGTGTATTTTTGTGGATGATACAAAAGGGAAAGAACATAAAAATACTCGGCAATAGCATCGTGTTTCGATGCACTTTCTATTACATATATCTTTATGAACCGATATAATTTTCCTTATAGGTCAATTATTAAGATAATTATACCTCAAGTAAAATTTTTCTATATAGCTTAATGTAATGTGACGTCACATGGTGTTATTTCAATGAATATTTTTTTGGCAATAATCCAATGGGGCGAGTAATCCATACAGCCTTAAGAAAATGTAAAATTCTACTTCTCTCCCCTGATAAATAGATTAATGAAGATCGGCGAAGTTGCAGTGATAAGAGAGTGTTGTTAATCAATCGTTCATCGCATACCACACTTAAACATGAACATGTCAAGAGACTTTGCTAGATAGATACCGTGTTTGCTTAGCAGTAAAGAAAAGGAATGCATATACGACCGTCAAAAATTACTCTGGCGACATGAGGTCGATCAGCAAATTCTGAACAAAATTGTTCCTGTTGATGAAACCTGCCGGCTCCACTTCTATGACCCGGAAGATAAAAGACAAACACGTTTGTGGAAAACAGCTGTCTCTCTACCACTGAAAAAGCAAAAGCAAAAGAAAAAGCAAACAAAATCCATGGGAAAGCACACATTTATCATGTCTATTGATAGAAATGGGGTACTTCCTGGTCATACATTCCCACTTGGTCAGACGACTACTCTAAGGAAGGTCAAATGCTCCTACATTATTTGAGATTGTTACAGTAAATAAATAATAGTAATGATAGATACTAAAAATTTCCTCATACACAATCAGAATAATATCCTCAGTCCTAATCACATTCCTAATATTAATTCATCTAACTAAGATCGATTTTCATTAATTCGTTCATTATAAGGTACATTTAATCAGACGTGATCTCCTAAATGTGACGAGATGGAAGCGTCCAGCGTTAATTGACTACATGGAGAACATTATATTTCATCAAGATAATGCATCTTGCCATAGATCTCGGGAAACACAACTTGAACTGGATGTGTAAGATTTTCAGAGACTTCCCCACGCGCCATGCAGTCCATAGCGCCCTTAGACTTTGCAGTGTTCCCTTGTTTGAAATCGCAATTACGAGGCCACATATTTGAAAACTTCAGCGAAAAAATCTGGAAACAAAATGATCCCTCGGAAGCATTAATCACAGCAAAATTACATGAAAATTGCAGACTCGGTTTCATTGAGTCTGTACATGAGAGATAATTTATAATATCCCTCACTTCCACTAGCACCGGCTTGAGCGGTACTCAATTCTCAACACTTAATAGTGCTGGCATCAATGATTCCGAAGGACTCTTCAGTCTACGAAAGTTGCAAACATTGAAACAATCATAATTATCCTTCAATTCATTCGTTTATATTCTAACATGTTCTGATAAAAAGGTGCGATGTCATTCGAAATTTCCTTCCTGGCCTTTTTTGACTGATGAAAATGAGTACAAACATATTCTCGGCTTAATGAAGATAAGTAACACTGATTCCTGACATCGCAATATGCCCTCAAATGGTCAATTTGAAGCAGCACAAAGTAGTGTAATAGTTTACCCGCAGAGAATTCGTCGATAAAGGAAGTTTTAAAAAAATCGGTCACTGTACAGCGACCAATGGGACCTAGAGCAAAGCTATACCATCGTACCGAGGAATCACGGTCGCTCCCACAACCTCCTTGGGCAATACAACTCGCCGACTTTAAACTCGTATTGCGTACCGGGTGTTCATTTACTTATCGTCCTAAGTCGACTTGACAATATCCGATAGTTTACTTACAACAAGAATGTTTAAATATGATTTTAATATTAAGTTCGAGTTAGAAAGATAAAAAAGGAGAGCGGCGTTAACTGAAGGCTGTCACAAACATTACGCATAGATTTTCACATGACAAAATGTAAGAAATGCAGGGACATCGAATCTATATGACCCTTAAGCATGACCAATTAAGACCACAAGGTGATACTATAAATGCCAAATATCAATGCAACCAATCATACTGTCCTTCTGGAAAAGAGTTGGCACTTTAACTCATTCCTAGCATATTTAGATATATTGGGAACACTTTTGTGACTATGGACATCTAAAATATGACAAAGATGAATGAAAAGAAAAGTATACTAGACGCAATCTCTTGAAAACCAAGCAACACAGGACCAGAGACACGGAACAAAACAGGGAACCTAACAAGAAAGAGAGAAAGAGCACAAGGACAAAGCAAGGACGGTGCGTACTTATACTGAATAATGACAATACTTAATAATTTAAAAAGGCAAATCATAATAAAATCTAAAACAATTAAAGCGTGGATCCTAACTCTATTCAGCAATGGTCTGATATAAAACAATCTGGATATTATTTGGGTTTTATAAAGTTATATCCTCTTAACCGCATTGCATATATCTGCTGCGTACCTTTTTGATCCTAAATATGAAAACAAAGACCAACAAGGAAGCGGGCATTCAATGAACGCATCCCAAAACAAAACCATACCACATTGGAACACCGGCAAGGAGTCAAGCAGGTCGCCAAACGTAAAGCACGAGATGATACAAGGACAAAGAGCGGGCGTTAATATAAATTAATTCAATATAGGAAATCACAGAAACCGACAAAGATATCAAAGACGACAATTTATAAAAAAGGCCAACAAGAGGATGAATGTAAGGGAAGGGACCATAGGGCAAGTTAAGAGTGGGTTGGGAGGAGTTTTTTTTTTAAAAAAAGGGAAAAGGGAATTTCTACCGTTGACGGTATTTCTAAAATCTTATCATGTTTTTTACAGTTTTGTTCATTGCATCAAACAACTTCAGTCGGTGCGTTCTTTTCTTTGATATTTAGATTACTGTTAAGATAATAATCGAATTGATTTTAAATGCTTTTGTATTTTTTCTTACATGTACAGTTAAACTTGCCACAGTGGCTCACTGAATTAAATTCGACCCTATTTAAAACCAATGTAAAGTCACTGAATTAAACGACTGCCTGTCTGATGCGACTAACGGCTGAAATAATTGGATCACATGACGATTACATGGCAGAATTAATCGACTTTTATGAATTTTCGTTGTCAATGATATTCCACTAGAGCGGGCAATATTATGTCAGTTTAGTCAATTAAACATAATAATGATTTATTTTGAGATCATTTATCTTGGAATAAATAAATAAATAAATAATTTATTTAATCATTCATTCTCTCTTAATTAAATAAACACAAAAATGCAAACATTGAAGATTAAAATAAAATCTAAGTGAATCTAAAGAGAAGTTCTAAAAATTCTTTTGTAATGTTATAAGTTGCCAAAGACATAATCTCTGTTATTCTCGGTAAAAAAACAGTAATGTGCCAGAGTGTCATTAAAATAAATTACACGTCACTTGCCGGGAGTGCGAAAGAAACTTTCAATGGAAGCAATAAAATCGGACAATTGAATGTAAAAGAATTTTATACATTGAGCACAATGTAACTAAATCTTAACAACATGATAAGTTAAAATCAACATTTTTTTCCAACCATTTTGACTTAAAATAAATTAATTAAGAGAGATTATCTTATTTCACAAACAAAAACTAACTCACACATATAATACACTTTTTCTGGCAAGGAAAGTACTGTCATATCTGTTTTTTGATTGTGCCAAGGAAAGTCACATATGGCAGATTGACTGTATTCCTATAAATCTTGTTTTAATAAGTTTTTCAATCAAAAATGGACTTATTAACTTAAATTGTCGTATTAACTGACTGTATTTCTGTTAATCTTCTTTAACAAAGTGTTTTATCCAAAATGGTCTTATCAACTGACTGTACATGTATTTCTGTTAATCTTCTTTAACAAAGTGTTTTATCCAAAATTGTCTTATCAACTGACTGTATTTCTGTTAGTCTTCTTTAGCAAAGTGTTTTATCTAAAATGGTCTTATCAACTGACTGTATTTTTGTTATAATAATCTTTTAAAAAAGTGTTTTATCTAAAATGGTCTTATCAACTGACTGTATTTTTGTTAATCTTCTAAAAAGTGCTTCATCTAAAATGGTCTTATTAACTCACTGTATTTCTGTTAATCTCCTTTTAAAAAGTGTTTTATCTAAAATGGTCTTATCAACTGACTGTATTTCTGTTATAATAATCTTTTAAAAAAGTGTTTTATCTAAAATGGTCTTATCAACTGACTGTATTTCTGTTAGTCTTCTTTAACAAAGTGTTTTATCTAAAATGGTCTTATCAACTGACTGTATTTCTGTTATAATAATCTTTTAAAAAAGTGTTTTATCTAAAATGGTCTTATCAACTGACTGTATTTTTGTTAATCTTCTAAAAAGTGCTTCATCTAAAATGGTCTTATTAACTCACTGTATTTCTGTTTATCTTCTTTTAAAAAGTGTTTTATCTAAAATTGTCTTATTAATTATTATTATTATTATTATTATTATTATTATTATTATTATTATATACCACATTTCTATAGCACTCTTTTCATAAATAATAAATGTTCAAGAGTGCTTTACATAAATCTGATAAAACATAATCATATATATATATAAGACATAAGGTACAATATTAATTAAGTAAACCTATTAAACAATAATGATAATCTAAAACCAGTAAAGGATGGTAAGAAATACAGACACATTTAGTTTAAAATCAAGGCTCAATTAAACAAAAAAAATCCTATAAAAGATTTGAACGAAATAAGATTGTTAAAAAAGTAACAAACAAAAGAAAAAAAGAAACCAATTATAAAGTAAAACCCTAAGACATAAAATCAAACACTCGATTTACACTGATAATATAGCAAAAGTAGTACATGTATGTTGTTTTATGAAACTAACGTCCATAGAACTTTATGAAATAATGTGTTTTGAGTGTAACTGATTGTAAGTGTTTAACTGACTGTGTTTCTGTTAATCTTCTTTTAAGAAGTGTTTTATCTAAAATGGTCTTATCAACTGACTGTATTTATGTTAATCTTTTGCAAAGAAGTGTTTCATTTAAAATGGTTTTATTAACTAACTGTATTTCGGTTATTCTTCAGTTGAGAAGTGTTTTATCTACAATGGTCTTATAAACTGACTGTATTTCTGCTAATCTTCTTTAAAAAATATTTTTTAGCTCCAAAAGTTATCAATATTATAAGAGAAATTGTGAATTATGCTGGTGTTTGAAAACGGATAACTCTGGTTTATCAAATCCACGTTTTAATGTCCTAGTTATCTGCCTAAATGTGGTAACGTTTTTTTTTGTCGGGCAGTATAAGTAACAATGAAAGAAGCATTAGCTGTTAAAAAAAATAACAATTTTTAAAGGTTTCCCATTTTGATCGTATGATCTTACCATGTACATAAATGACGTACACCATTTGTTTTAAAACAAAAGACATAGGTCAAATCATGTACTTGTCCCAGGGATTTTTTTAGCAAAATTTGTTGAAATTTGTTATGCAAGCATTGCATTGGCCAACTAAAATGGGATAAATAAATTATTAAATTTATTTCATTTTTTTATAATTATGTCCAAAGTAACCGTTTATACAATAACAGAAATTAGTTAATATATTTTAACAAAAACATGCATGAAATAAATTAAAGAAAGCATTAAAGCACTCCGAACACAACAGAATTTAAAGCTGATGTAGATTTGATTGAGTCTGTTCGTGTACGCAAGTGGTTAATGAAAGCAAGTCTAAACGTTTGCAGGATTTTATATCTAAAAAACAGACTGTTTATCAATAGACAATCACGGTGTTCTTTTACACAAGTAACTTAGCAGTCAAAGAAGATTTGAATGAAAAAATCCTAAGCATCATTTTTGAACGCAAATTTGTTTTTAGATAAAAACCTAATCGATTGATATAATCATTTTGTTTTTGTCAATTGCTAGTTCAACAATCAAATTGAATATGTAAGATCTCAGTTTATTTGTTATCATAAACTAAACTTAAATTATATTAATTGTATACATTTATTTTGGAATCTTTTATTTGTGTTAACGTGAAGTCTTATTGGTAAAACAATAGATTATATATATCTTGATGACTTAAACTTTGAGTATGAATACAATACATTGTTTTTGTTAAACAAATAGAAAAGCGAAGAAGGAATTTAAAAGACAATTAACTTACACAATGTATTCAATGGGGCCTATCCGAGACTCGGAGTTGAATTTCAAACACTTTTTGCATTTACAAAAGACAAAAACATCCCATTCATTGGACAGTATAAATAATCTCAAAATAGTATTTTTAACCCGGGAAAATCTTATATTCAGTTAAAATTAGTTTTGATCTATCTTTACTAATTTGACAAAAATAGTGCAGGAAAGCCGTTAATAAATCCATGTAACTTCAAAAAATCGAGTACCGTGACGCTTGTAAGCACATTTGGATTTTGTAAAGGATATTTGTAAGTATGGTATTTTCTTGTAAAATTCTTAATAATTCAAAATAAGATAAATGTAACAAACACACATAATGATTACGATGACTTTATCTATGATAGATAGGCCATGTATGTTATATCATTTTTAACTTAGCTATATCACAGGCAATGTGGTAAGATGATATTCATAACATTCAATGGCTGACTTTTAATGGCGTCTTCATAAGAAGCATTGGATTAACACTAACAATCAGTACGTTTTGTGAGTAATCATGTTAATGTTGATACAATATCAATCTATCTTTCAAAGGAATTTAGGTACTTATCATCAGTAACATCTCTGCTTTAATAGGTTTTTGCTTCTGTGCTTTGCTACTTTTCAAATCAATTACTTTTTCAGCTTAAAGACTTTTATTGTTTATCGTTCAATGTCTGGGACAACAGAGACTGAAATGCAGATACAAATCGTGGTATGTTAAGTTCCTTTTCTCATTCAGAATATGTTATGCTTTGTTGTATGTCCGAAAGATTTCGGGTATATTATACGCCTAGTTGTCCGTCGGTTAGCTTTTTTGTGTTTACCCTGTATCGACTGTGAACCGATGGGAAGGGAATTAAAACTACTTGACAAAAATTGTAATCTCAGTAAGACAATGTGCAGATCGAAATCAGTTCATCATTCTGGTCGTCGTGTTTTCCCTGGACAAGACAGTCACACAATAGGTATTCAAGGGTTCAATGTCATAGATTTATAGTTAATTTTGCTTGATAATTTAATCATTGTCTTTTTGTTATTTCTGTACTTCAATTCTTGTCTAGGGTATAACATTAAATTAATATGATGCATCAAATAGAAACTTTATGGTACCCAAGAGTCTGTCAAAATGCTCCCCAAATGATGAGCATATATTCGCCGTTCTGTCAGTACGTCTGTCTGCTTTTCTTGTCCGAAACATATCTCTGAAATAAAAACATGAAATTTGTAGGAAGATATATCTCATTTGGTAGATGTGCTGTGCTTAAGAACCGTTACTCTGCATTACCTAAATTTGGAGTAGCTGTCCTTTGTTCATTTTTACAATTTGAACATTGTCCGTGACATAACTCTGAAACTTTAAGAGATATCGACATGGAACTTTGTAGGTAGGTATTTCTTATTTGAAAGATATGCAGTGCAAAAACCACAACTTTGTCTTACCGAAATTTGGAGTTATTGCCCTTTGTTCATTTTTACTTTTTGAACTTTGACATGGACATAACTCTAAACTATAAGAGATATCAACATGAAACTTTGTAGGTAGATAGATCTTTTTGGGAAGATGTGCAATACTAAAGAAATATAATAGAATTGCCTAATTTTGGAGTTATTGTCCTTTTTCATTTTTTTACTTTGAACATTTTCGGAACATTCGGATACTATAAGAGATGTTAACAATAAACGTTCTAGATATATAGGTCTCATTGGGTAGATGAGCATTGCAAAAGACCAGTGACTTTGCCTAAATTTGGAGTTATTGCCCTTTGTTCATTTTTTCATTTTGTACTATGTCCGAAATATAACTCTAAAACCGTAAGATTTTTTGGTAGATATATCTTATTGTGAAGATATGCAGTGTAAAAGAACCGTAACTCTGCCTTGCCTATTTTTGGATTTATTGCCCTTTTTTCAATTTTACACTGAATTTTGTCCGGAACATAACCGTGAAACTACATGAGGTATCAACAAGAAACTTAATAGTTAGATAAATCTCATTAAATAGAAGTACAGTGCAAAATAAAACGTAACTCTGCCTTGTTTAATTCTCGAGTTATTGCCCTTCGCTAATTTCTACACTTTGAATATTGTCCAGGACAAAACTCTGCAAGTATAAGAGATATCAACACGAAACTTTGTAGATAGAGAGATCTCATTTGGAAGATGTGCTGTGCAAAAGAACCATAACTCTGAGTTGCCTTATTTTGAGTTATTTCCCTTTGTTAACATTTTCGGGACATGGAGTTATTGCTGTTTGTTGATTTTTTCATTTTGAACTTTGTCCGAGACATTGCTTGCTAAAATAAAAGTTTAATTGTTTCAGACTCACGGAGAAGCTTTTTGTCCATCAACGATGGTAAGTTAATGAAATATGTTTAAAGAAAAATACAATTTTGCAAATATATGTTCAATCACTAAATCAATTTTGATGCTTAGCCAAATTGTATTTGCCTTAAACTGGATATTTTGAAGTCAAATTCATATGCATGGCAAAAGCGTTTGTCCAATGAAGATCTTTTTCAAAGACCACTGCAAATAAAAAAGTACTGTAAAAAAATGAAAGTTCTCATAAACAATACTTCATTTAAAAAAAATACTGATGAATAAGAGTTCATAAAAATGCTCCGATGAAAGAAGATGTACAAATGTCATACTTTACTTTTAAAATGAATATTGTTTAAATTTCTCAGTCTGATAAATCTGTTTTAAATGAACATGTTTCGAAACCCGACATTATATATATGTATTTTAATTTATGACTGGTATGTAGACAAAGGATACACCATTTGCGAGCCGGAAGCTACTGCTGGAGGAGATAACAAATAACGAGAGAAATGAAATGGAGGAAGCACAAATGGAGGAGAATGAGATAAAAGAGGGGCATGATGATGTTGAGGAGGAACAGGACAATAAGGTAAGGATAGCAATCATATTTTTTATGTTTTATATATTGTTTTGAGTGTTATATTAAACTTTTTATTCATATTTGTTTCAAGAACATTCTTTATTAATTTTTCATTCATATTGTACAAAAACAATGTATGGTTGGTATTATCTGATTATATAAGTACGAAATCAAAACTTAAAAACAGAAACCTTATGGTAAAATGTTTCGAAACCTGACATTGTATATGTGTTTTAATTTAAGGCTAAGGATACTCCATTTGCGAACCGGAAGCTGCTGGAGGATGATACAACAAATAACGAGAGAAATGAGATGGAGGAAGTACAAACAGAGGAGAATGAGTTAAAAGAGGGGCAGGAGAAGGTTAGGAAGGCGAAGGTTAATAAGGTAAGGATGACAATCATCAATGTTAGAATGATAACTATTTTTATATGTAGATATTATATTGTAAACTTTTTCTAATATTTTGTTTCTAATATTTTCTATATGTTCGTGGGCAATAATAATTAATTGTTTATTCATATAACATCAAATGTATAATTAAGAATGGAAAGTGATTGCTATGATTTGCTTGCTCAAATAAAAGTTAAATTGTGCCAGATTGTCGGGAAACCTTTACGTATGTCAACAATGGTAGTTTTATGAAATATATATATAGAAAATAAGATTTTTTTTCACGAGATTTTAATTACCCGTCATTAGCGCTTCGATTTTATAGACCTTATTTTGGCAATATTTCCCCGTGTTTACCGTCAACAACCTCCTTTTTGAAATAATACATTATACCACAGATTCATAACACAAGTGTTTTTTTAGATTTTGTTAATTTGTTAAATAGAAGTCTGCTCCTCGAAAAGATAAATATGTGTCACTTTTACCTACTTCTCATTAGCACGTGTTCCAAATAACATCTCTTATTCATTATTTACGGATGTAAGTTTATGAAATATTTGTTGAAAATAACAATTTTACTTGTCGGTATCAACATTTAATAATTTTTTAGTTTGTTTGACCCTTTTCGTGAAAAATTACCTTTATGTTACTTTGAGTACATGTTTCCCGATCCTGGTAAAGTGTATCTGTGATTATGAAAAAAAGACAACTACTAAATAAATGTTTATTGTTACAACGGTATTTCAATCGTACTGTTGTATGTCGTTTAGCTGGCTTCATTTTGTAAGTTCTTACATGTCTTTTTCTCTTCTGATTCTAAAAGACTATTAAAACAATATGAAGATTAGCGATGGCAAATTAAAAGAATTCAATCTTACTTGGGGTCAATAGATCAAAAGTCACATCATAGACACTTTAAGTTCAACATGTTTGTGTTTAATATCTTTTCACATTTAATTTGTTTCAAGTTTACATTTCGAAATAGCTCTCTTTTTAAAACTTTTAAGTAGATTGCCCATGATAAGTTAATAAATTCCATCTATTTGAATAATCGTAGGTTAGTAAAACTTGCTAGGTAAGTCCGATATAACTAGAAAAATCATGTTCTGGTAACGTTAACAATTTGAGTGGTGTGATTCCTTGGTTTATATGGGCACGAGACATGGCTGCTTGTTATGAAAATTTAATTCTATATTAGATTGAATCATGTTTTTTTTCTCTATATAAACGTCCATTTAATTTTTATATAAAGACAGGGTTCGTTTATAAATCAAAGATTACTAACCAACTAATTAATAAGGATATTTGTTTTTGATAATAGGGACATTTATCTATATCTATCTTTTAACAATTATTCAACCTTCATTCATTGCTTCTTTGTATGAAAATTAATTCTAATTATTTTAACATTATACAACGATGTTTATTTGAATATGTACCATTAATATGCTTATGTAGCATATGGTAGAATAAAGAATGGAATTAGATCTAGAATTAGATCTTCAGTTTATTAAAAATGTTTAATTAAGCATAGCATGCTGTTAAAAATTTCTATAATATTTGATTTTTCAAAGAGTTAATTTTAGAGTTAACAGTTCAGTCCAGATATTTTTATTCACAAATGTAGTTTCAGGGATTATGGTGGTCTCGTCATTTTAGATAAATAATTTATATCACAATTATTTCTTATTTTCTATTATAGTGAACACTCGAGCAATAAGTACATGTAAATTACAAAAGTAGTGTTAACTATTGTAAAATGTATAATGAGGGAAAGCACGGTTCACAGGTCTGAGATATCTGGAAAATTAAACTAGAAACTTTGTTAGATTAATTAGGAATTTAGACGTGCCCGCGTTTCAGAAAATAATCTCAAGATTATTGTATTAATTTTAGAATGACTAATGAGATTCCCTGGATTCAGTTTTTAAACCCATTACTTAAAGAACATTTTGTGAAAAATGGCTGTTTTCATTGAAAAAGCTCCCGTTAAAAGTTCAAATTGCTATTAAACTACAAATGTTGACTGGACCTTTGCCTTTGTAACAACATGCTCAGGCTTAAATTTCCTGTTACCATGGCAACAAGGGAACATCTCAAAATTGCCAAAAATCACTATTTTGCGTTGATTTTTTCCATCAAAATTGATTTCAAAGTGCTGCAACTTACCAATGGATTGAGATAGAGTCAAATGCTTTACAGCGTTGGTTACACGTTACCTTATGATCGATCTGAGGTCATTTTTAGGCTCTCACAAGTCCAAAATTTTCTTGGCGATGAGGGGGACTACCGCCCCCTTCATCCCCCTTCTGGCAACTGCCTGTTATATCTTTTGGTTGGGGTGCCGCGCCGAAAAAGTGCTCACTTTTTCAATCAACATTTTTCAAACGATAACATGTGTTTGGGGCCCAAACAGGACATTATATTCACTTATTAGGCTTAATAGATGGGGGGGGGTCGAAAGTGTGTTGTTTCGTGTATATATGAGGTAAAGAGTTAAACTGACTAATTGACATCTACCTGTGTATTTTACAGGAAGTAAAACCGTTCTCAGACGGACTTCGCCCGAAATTATGTTTCATTCAACTGTGTCGCGCAAGGACTGAACACAGTCTTGAAAACATGAAAATTATAACAAGGCACCTAGTTTTCGAAATAATTGGATAAGTTGCAATACTTACATCAATTCGTTTTTAAGTCAGTTTGCAGTTTTTCACAGTGAAAAATATAGCTCCCCTTTTGCAATGCTACTGTTTGAAATAGATACGATATGGGCATTTTTAGATTGATGGGGAGTACCATTTAACTCACAATGTTTGTTGTTAACTAGTATTTATCACGTATTTAGCATAACGTCCATGTAATTATTGTGTAAAGCCCGGAATTGCTTATGAATCAAAGGGAAGCCTTAAAATAAAAACAAAAATATCCTATTTGAAGTATTTTGTTCAGTATTAAAGTCCTTACAATGACGATGGCAGATATTGTTTCTTGTGAAATTCATGCTTTGGTTACATAAACAAATCTGTTTGTAATAATAAGTCATAAATATGATATTATTCATTAAGTAAGCTCTTATGTAGCTTTTGGTTTCGTATGATGGTAATAGAACAATGAAAAAAATGTAAAGATGATTGCCCATGAATAGTTAATGATTATTGTAAATTCATATTAAAGTAAATGAATAATAATGAGAAGTGATGGCAAAAATAAAAAAAAATAAAAACAACAACAACAAAATAAACCAAAAAGACATTGTAATAAATGTTTAAGTTCATTAGAACAGTATGCGGACAAAAGAAAAGCAATTTCATTAAAAATATTTGCCATTGTCAATATCAAAGAATTTACTATAAATTTTGATGAATGAAATTTGCATGTATAAAAATTCTTCCGGTGGTATTATCTAATTCTTCAAACATTTTATATTTGTCGAATGTCGATAAAATCGATTTAAGCTTAAAGTATCAAAATTAATGTAAAACAGACCGATAATATCTTCACATATTTTTTGCTTCGGTAACTGGTGCCTAAGTATCTTGTGTTTTTAATTTGTTTGATATTACGCTGATTTGTTGAATTATGTGATTAATTCAAGAGTAAACCGACATGTTTTTTGTTTGTTTTTATTTTCTGTAACTTGGCTTATCTCAACTGTCATTTTTTTTAACGTTTCTCAATAAATAGGAGAATTTTATTGCTGAATAGGTAGACATTTATCTAACCTTTCAGACAATTATTCAAACGTCATTCATTGCAACAAAAAAGTATTGAAGTATGTTCAGTATTTCTGACTGATATAGTCTCCCAAAAAGTTCATGCTTGAGTAACGTAAACAAATACAATTTCCATGGGGGTGATCCATTGGTGTTTATGCGCTACACCGGATGTGGCTGCTTAATATAAAAATTAAATTGTATATTAGATATAATCATGTTTTATATATATATCAAGTGCTTGGCAAAACGTAATTATAACAGAAAGGTAGATTTTGTTTATAAATCAAAGGTAAACATAAAATAAAATGAGCTTGTTGTAAGTGTTTAGTTCAGTATTGACAGATATTGTCTGTAGAGACAACTTAACCAGGAAAAAAAACGTGAAAGTGTCCTTACGAATTATTTCAACACATATTTGTTTTTATTTCACAAACCTTAGAGGTCGGACTTAGGATCATGTAAGTTAGACAGATACAAACCTGTTTGTAACAAGTAACAAGTCATAATGTTTCCCAAATCTTTGTGAAACATGTTGTTTTTTGCCTTCGCCGTCTGTCTGTTCATCTGTCCGGTCGTCTGTCTGATTGTCCGTATGCATTAAGCTTGTCCGGCTTTCAGAGATCTAACTACTTGTAGGATTTCAACCAAACATTACAGGAGTGATCATTATCATTCCTTGTTGTGCATCTCACCGACACATTCCGCTTTGCTGCACAAAATTGCCGCTAGAGCTATGAATAGAAAAATTTTGTTCGGCTTTCACAGGTAAAACTGCTTGGGGATTTTAAATAAACTTCAAAGGAGTAATCAGAAGCATCCTAGTAGTGAATATCGCCAGCACGTTCCGCTTTGCTGCACAAAATGGCCACCAGAGCTATTTAATTACTTGTCTGGCTTTCACATGTCAAACTGATGGTCGGAATTCAACCAAACTTCACAGGAGTGATCAGTACAATCCTTATATGTTGATATTAACGGCGCATTAGGCTACGCTGCATAAAATGACCACCAGAGCTGAAAATAGAAAAAAATCTTGTCCGGCTGTCACAGGTCAAACTTCTGGTGGGATTATAATGAAACTTTTCAGGTGTGCTCATTATTATCCTTAGTTGTGCATATCGCCGGCATGTTCTGTTTCACTGCAAGCAATGGCTGCCACAGCTTGAAATAGAAAACTCCTGTCTAGCTAAAACAGGTCAAACTGCTGGTTGGATTTCGACCAAAAAGTCACAGGAGTGATCAAATCAAGATATAGTTCTGGGAGGCATATGTTTTTCTGACAAAACCCATTATTGTTTTCTATGATTTCATCCATTAAGTAATCTCTTGTAGCTTTTGTTTTCGTATTTTGACAAAAGAACAATGAAATAATATAAAGATGATTTCCAATGAATAGTAAATGATTTCAATCTATTTTGAGGCCATTAGAGCAACAATGAAGGTCAGAAATCAACATATTTTATGTTTTTATTTTCAATGTCTCTAATGTACTGTAAATTAAGGTTTATCAACGTTTTTAGAGATAAATAGGACGATTATATTAATCATAGGTACACATATGCTTATTTAAATTATCAAAGAATAAAGCTGATTTTCATGTTAAATACTAGTAGATAAAATATTAGGAAACCATAGCATTAGAGTGCACTATGTTTTTTTTTTAGAAAGACATGTTTTGCTTTGTTTATTAGGAAAGCTAAGAATGATACTAAGTCCTTTCCATTCTTATGTATTTATGGAAATGTTAAGTACTGCAGCTGTACCAAAGCGCACAACCCTAAGAATAAAACATGTCCACAAAATATAATGTATTTAATGAAGTTTGTAAAAAAATATTGACAAAACAAGTCCACAAAATATATTTATGCATAAAAACTGCACATCATGAAGGTTAACATTAACAGAGAAAGAAAAATATATTAACGGAAAAAGCATGGGGGCAAGCGCTCTTGTTGCATGTTTTTTTGTTAGTGTGACGTAAATGCCCTTATAGTTCCATTATAGAAACATAGATAGATAGATAGTTTATTCATATAAGACGTGTACAAAATGCACATGGTCACAAAATACATACATTCAAATATAATTAAACATCACGTAATCATCAAAGTTAACATTATTTAGTAGCAAAGTGTCATACAATGATAAAACTACATCTTTGGACTGCATTAACAAAACATGGAGAATGAAAAGAAATAAGGTAATATTACTAACAAGATAACATTTTTATAATTATGTCTGAAGATTCGGTTGATTTAATTCCCTGCGTTTAAATGCTTGTGCTATAAAATTTCCCAAATTTAACAAGACTTTTTTCTTTTTAGAACTTAATAAATCAATAAATTTGTACATGCTCGGATTTTTCACATAATATTTTGGTATGAATTTGTTTCTCAGGTCAGAATATTTTTTGCATGTGATTATAAAATGAAATTCATCTTCTATGTCATTACCGCAGAAATAACATAATCTTTCATTTCTTGGTTTTCGATTACACCCATGTCTAAGAGATTCTATAAATAGATTATGCGACGACACGCGCAATCTAGTTATGCTATTACGTATTTTAAACGAATTTATTTTAATCAAGTAATCCGATATACCAAAGCTCGGTTTTAAATGTATGTACAAGGATTTCAGTATTTCATTTTTCTCAATATCTCCAAATAGTTTCTGTAAGGCACAATCCGTTACTGTTTTCTTGAACAAATTTACAAATAATTTGAAATTTATGTTTTCATGATTTACAAAAACAGAGCTAAAACCATAATCATCAAGCAGTTTTTTAACATGGAAAACCCAATTCTTTCTACCATTATAATACTGCGCCAATGAATGTGTATAAACTGATTTTAATAGCATATTATCCGTATTGATAATCTTGACCCAGTATTTAATAATATGTACAAAACGAAATACATATAAAGGATAGCGACCCAATTCTACATATATAGCTGCGTTACTTGTCGATTGTTTTACACCAAGGATTGTTTTGCAAAACTGTAGATGAATACGCTCTAATTCACAAGACTTAGTAAACCCCAAAATTGGACAACCATGATTTAATATCGATCCTACGAATGCATCAAAAAGTTGCAATGAAATATCCGGACGAATGTTATATCTTTTGATATTATTTAACAATGTGTGCATCGCCCTAAGTGCTTTGCCTTTTAGACATTTTAT